TTCCTAGGGTTGCTGAGTCATATACGATTTGATAGCACTTAACAACAGCAACATTGAGAGAGCTCTCTAGGCCTAGTGTATAGGAAGTTAGGCTACCAAACCAAAGGTGGGTGATTTTAATCTGCGGCCCTCAGGCCTGGTTTTAATTGTTTTTGGTCAAACATTCTTCTGAGTGGTATAGCACTGTTCTGTTCATTTGCTGTACAGTACAGAGGTAACTCATCATTGCTATGATGCTAAACATTGTGACACTGATGTGTCAGATGTGATAATAGTTACCCATGGTGGACAGTGTTTGGTGGATCTCCCAGATGAAAACAGACTTGAAAGCGGAATGGCATCCACTTCTGAAATAGCTTGCCTCCGGAAATCTTTGAACACCTGATGGTACACAAAGGAATCACATCGACTATATCTGTGGAAAGAGTTGCTCAGTATCAGCTAGGTGAAAACTAGGCCAGGTGCTGATTATGGAACAGACCATCAGCTGCTCATATGCAAGTTCAAACTAAAGGTAAGGGTGGTTAAATCAAATCCACAGGAACCAAGATTTGACCTTGAGTCTATCCCACTTGAATTTAAAAATCACCTCAGGAACAAGTTTGAGATCTTGAACACTAATGAGCAAAGACCAGATGAGCTGTGGGAGGATATCAAGAATATCATTCATTAAGAAATCAAGAGGTCATTGCAAAGACAGAGGAGAAGAAAAAGACTGAGATGGGTGTCAGAAGAGACTCTGAATATTGCGCTAGAAACCAAAACAAAGAGAGGGAATTAGGAAGTTAAGGAGATAAACAGAAGATTTCAAAGGGAAGCGTGGGAAGATAGAGTATTACAATGAAATGTGCGAAGAGTTGGAGTCAGAAAAGCAATAGGGCCGAACTCACTCAGCATTGCTTAAGCTGAAGGAGCTGAAGAACAAATTCAGCCCTCAAGTTGCAATACTTAAGGATGCTGTTGCAGAATCTGTAGGCATACCTTTTTATATAATCATGATGTTTGAATAGTGTGATTCTTTTATGTTAAAGAAAATTACATTCTTGAAAGCAAACACTCAAATTTAAAGCATTAAAAATAATGAATATTACTGATTATCTTGTTAATACTACAACTTTCTAGAAGAATTATTCCATTTGATAGTGAAAACTATACAGTGAGCATGCATGCTTAGTGAAGAATATTTTAATGATACTATTTTAGTTTTAAAAAGATTGAAGAGTGGTGTTATTAGTAAACACCAATTGCATCCTGATTTTGTTGTGAAAAGGCTATGAATAACATAATTGGGAACATTTCAATATAGTCCTAATACTTGATGTGTCAATGAACTGTTTATTGGAGATCTTTGGAGAAAGAATAAACTATTAGTTTTGGTAGGGTTGATTTTTTTTAAAAAAAAATTATACTAGTTTACTTACAAAGTTCGTACACATTGTTCTTCACAGTGGATCTTTCCTATTTCCTTTAATCACCCCTGTCTCAACCCAACAAGCTATTAAGTTTTGTTAAATCATAGTTAAGAGAAAAATGTCGGACTGGGTTACTACCTTCACTACCTCATACTTTAATAAAAAATTCCATTTCAGATACATAGAAGACTTAAAAGGTCAACTGTGACGAGCCATATAGACAAATAGAGGAAATATGGAAGAATATCTTTATTCTGGTTAGGAAAATATTCCATCATTAATTAAGGCAAGCACATTCTAGTAAAGACAAAACATCTCATTACACTAAAAATAAAACTCACCCTCCAGCCCAAAGAAGATCTATAAAGAAAATGCTTTGTCAGATATGAGATTAACAAAGTAGTAATATCTGACATGTTACAGACTTTAGCAAATCAATAAGGGAAATATAACCCAGTACAAGTTTTCCCAAGCTGTCTGAAACAAAACCATTCTTCTGAAACTTGTTGTAGGCGCAAGTAGCATAATGTGTAGACACAATTATTATTAGTTTATATGAAAACAAATATTTTATATTCTTGTGCTTTGTGTACTTCCATTTTACTTAAGCAGTAAACTTGCCATTTTACCTGTTGCTGGATGCTGACTGGAGGAAGCTGCTGTGAGTAGAACCAGTAGGTACTCGGATAGCCTTCACAGTTCTTTTTTTTGGTGTGTAAATAGTACACATGGTGGACACAGGCACATTCACCACATGCACAATGTCTTTTTTGCAGGGAGGGGTTGCCCCACCACAATTAAAAAAATTCACATCCTGTTTTACAGTAAGCATAAGACTCTCGTGAGCCCTCATGGGCTTGTCTTATACCTGATAGCATGTCTTGGTAAGAGATGCACAAAAGAAATCAAGATGAGAGCGCAGACGCTCACACAGTCCAGAGCTGTGGTGGTGTGATGCTGAGATGCCGAGTCTGCTTCTTGGGGAAGGAACGTGGCATTGTCACTTGCTGCTCAGGATACATGCTGCTTTTTTAAATAGAAGGAGAATTGATGCCTTTGAGCTTTGGTGCTGGAGAGGAGTATTGAGGGTACCATGGACTACTAGGAAAACAAACAGATTTATCCTGGAAAAGGCAGCTCCTTGGAGGCAAGGATTCTGAGGCTTCATCTGACATATTTTGGACATGTTATAAGGAGAGACAGGTCCTTGGAGAGGGACATCATGCTTGGGAGGGTGGAGGGACAGCGCAGGAGGGGAAGGCCCTCTATGAGGTGGATTGATTCAGTGACTGGGGTAATCGGGATGGGCGGAGACAGTGCGACTGGCACAGGACAGAGCGGAGTTTAGGGCTGTTGTACATAGGGTCACTATGAGTCGGAGGTGACTTGACGGCACATAACAATAACAACAACCCTGCACAGTAAACAGTGAATATGCTTTTCTCCTTTTTTCGTGAATGCAAAAGTCCTCTTTGGATTTCTTTTGGCTCATACAGGTGTTAATGTAGGTCTTTCATAAAAGTGGAGTATTAATGACCGTTTTTTTGTTATATTGGTTTGCATACAAAATTCGTATACATTATGTTTCACACTTTCCTTCACTCACATTGTATTTTAGACAATCATTCCTATACATTGTGTTTTATGAACTTAATCACCATTGAACTATGGTAAGTGAACTTTTGAAAAATAGGGGATTTCTATGTAAAAAAGTACCAGTAGATAATAACAGACAAGCCATGGCAGTGGAAATTCCACTTGCCAATAAATATAAAAAGGCGCTACCATTCATGGTAATGAGGTAATACACATTTATTTACCGTGAGATACTGTTTCTTAATCATAAGGTTGGCAGAAGTTAGCAGTTTGGTGGTAGCTATAAAAATAATAAACACATGCACTATTTTATCCACTCTTCAAAAATCCTGCCAATCCATTATTTACACTTGTGAGAAATGATCTGTCTACAAGAATATGCATTGCTGTATTTTATTTAATAGCAAAATAATGGGAATACCCTAAATGTCCATCACTTATGGTCTGATTAAATAAACACATAATCCTATTGGCATCTCTGTTTGCTACTATGGAATTCATTCCAGAATCACATAAATGAAAAAACTAAACTGGCAGAATATTTTGTATAATGTGTCTCTATTGCGTTATTATGAGAGGAAAAACTGGTAATAGGGAGCCCTTACCTGTATTCATTTTTGTATAGTACATTTTTTAAAATTAGACGCGTGTTTATACTTGTTTTCATATACTTTGAGCAAGTTGCCAGGAGGGACCAGTCCTTGAAGAAGAATATTCAGAAGTGTGGAGGGTCAGTGCAGGAGAGGAAGACCTTGGGAAGGTCTGAGGAAGATGAGGTAAATTGACACAGTGACTGGCGGTTGGGGTCAGATGTGTCAGAGACAGTGAGGTTGGCTCAGAGTAGGAAAAGGTTCAGAGTTGTTGGTTCATAGCATTGTTGAGTAGTAGACTCAACAGCACATAACAGCATCAGCAGTACACTTTCTAGAAAGTTAGTTATTCATAACGACACTTCAAATCATTGCTATCCAATTAGAACCAACTCATTGCTGACTCTCCCTTGAGTTTTCAGAGGCTGTAAATCACACAGGTGGAAATAAACCACCTTCCTCCCAAGGAGCTGCTGATGGATTCGAACCACCAGAGCTCACCTAATGATTTTTCATTTGGTTCCACAGTTTCCTCCTACTCTGTCCAGGATCCACTGCTGTTACCCCTTTCCAAGTAGTCAGCAGTGGTGAGCAGGCTCTGTCTAGGTCTCCTGCTTCTGGGGTGGATGGGGTCAGTTTTGTGTAGCCCATTGGTCCTTTGTTTCTGGTGAGTGCTATATGTGTACCTTGAATTTTCTCCTCTCTTCCTTGCTCTAAGTAAGGAGAGACCAGTTATTGCATCTTAAAAGGCCACACGCCGCTTTTTTATTTTTGAACTTTTTGTTGTGATTTAAGTGAAAATTTTCCATTCCACCATTCATAGGCACCATCAGCTTGTAGGACCCTAGGCTATACTCAGCAAAGTAGGATGTGGAATGTTGTCATTGTGGACTTTTATCCCAGCTGAACTTGATGTCCCCCAACACTTTGGTCCTGAGGCCCTGAGCCAGTGACTCATTCAGGATGTTAGATTATGGTTTAGAAGTCTACATAACTTTGCTCCCTGTTAACCCTACTAATATACAGGTATACTTAAAACATAAACAAATATGCATGCAGAAATAAAATTTGCCAAACCGTCTTGAGTGTAGTACAATGTAATATTTAAGTCCACTAAACATACTGAGTACATTGTTTGGCACAATAGGAAGAAATAATGTGTTAACTATTGTTGTTACTTCATTATTTTTAAAACACCATAAAGACATATTTGATAGTATGGTTTGTACCAAGTAAAATAGAGCCTTTGTAAATTTATTTATCAGTAGCATACACTCGAAAATAAGTAGTCTTGTAGCAGAGTAAGACAAAACACTAATGTTAATTCTTCTGTTTTTATAGCTTTGTTAATCAGGATAGTGCATCCTTGTTTTCCTTCTAATACTTTTATTTCTCTTTTTAGAAATGTGAACATAATTTGAGCAAGCCAGAATTTAATCCAACATCTATCAAATTCAAAATTCAACTGGTTGCTGTGTGAGTATTTTGATTTAGTTTTTTTAAATTGTTGGTTATGTTTTGCTTTTGATACTCAATGTCAAATATATTTACTCTTAGCTTAAGAAAGAAAACATCTACATCAGAATAATTTTTTTACTATTCCTCTTTAGCTTTTTCATTTTGTTCTGTGTCAAAAAGTTTAAGGTATTTCTTCAGACTTAGAATCAAAGATGTTTTTATATCAGATCATAGCAATGTGGCCTCCTATGATGCGTCATATATTATTATTATTATAATTATTATATATTCTTGGGTTAAAGAGTCAATTTATTATTTTTATCACAGATGATAAAGTACCTGAGTTTGAAAATGACCTTGTAAAAGTAAAAATAATGGCTAGCTTATTGGCAAGTATACCAGTATAGTCATTTTATTTACTGGTGGTCTGATAGACATTACAGAGTGAGATAAAATTTGGTGTTAACTCACTGGGACATGTCAGTAGAAAGGAGTTTTGCGTTTAAAACTCAATTATCACATTTTTTAAGTTTAAACTATGGAAATATTTTCTAACTTTGCTTTAGGAATCTTATTACTCTAAGTCTTTAGAGTTAGAGATAGGGACAGGGAACACAGAAACCACCAGTAAAAGAGATAGAACTGACCTGAACAAAATGAAACCGATTCTGAAGGACCAAATCAACGGCAGAGTCATGAGACAGACAATGGAGCCACTCATGACATATGAAAGTTTAAAAATCCCAAGCATGTAAAACTCTACAAATTAGATAAAAAGGGAAGGAGGAAGCAGGGCAAAGAATTTAAACAAAATGGGTTAAAACTAGTTAGAAAACAGAAAATCCAAATAGCTGACAGCTATATAGAAAGACAGAGACTTGAGAGCAAAATACATAGTCTGTAGTAAATAATTGACATTTAACTGGGAGCTCTGGTGGCCTAGAGGGAAGGGAATTGTGCTGCCGACCCAAAGGTACATGATTCTAATCCACCAGCAGCTAAGAGAAAGATGGAATATCTCCTCCATGCAATTTACAGCCACTGAAAACAGGCTAGGGGGTCAGGTATGAGTCAGTTCCAGCCTGATGGTAGTGAGTTTGAGTGTAGCTAATAAAGAAACCCGTGTTTATCTGTATTCTTGCTAGGATTGTGAATTTATAGAACCTGATAGGGAACGTGATCTGGGAATATGAAGAGAAATTATATAGACTTTTAACTAGCAATATTAGCACAGCAGTCTATTCTGTAAAGACAAAAGCACCATCATATAAGACCACATTTACAAAACAAGGTATTGCAGCATTTAAGTGGTAAAGAGCTAGAAAGAATTACTGTTTATTGGCCTACCAGCAAGGAAGAAATTGATTATGATGAGCTACAAAATATTACACAGCAATTGAAAACAAGTCTGTGACAGATAAATGGATGGGTTAATTCTGGCCTAGAAAGTGAGAAGTCCTAGGAAGACCAGTAATGAGGTCTTTTTTAACTATATTCCCTCACCTCTGAGGTGGCAATAACCCATGCTTTCTCCCTCAGCGTTATTAAGAAAATTCAAATGAACTATTATACTTAGAAATGCTTTGTGTTGAAAATCACTATAAAATATTCTTATTTTCCTAACTATTTTATTTATTACATGACTGGTTAGGAATGAAAAGAATAACCAAAACGACACGTGTGAACTCTGGTATAAACTCTTTTTTTAGTTGAAGAACTGTACTTATTAAAAAGAGTTTGAATATAAACTTCGCTTAATATTGAATTCTTAAGCTTGCTTTGAAGTAGAGTGCTCTTAGTACTATAATTGGAACACTAAGAAGACAATAATCAGAAAACGAGCAGAGGGCTTAAATAGGCACTTTACCAGACATCATACACAAATGGCAAACAAGCATGCAAAAGGTGATCATTAGTCTTTAGAGAAATGCAAATCAGAACCACAGTGAGGTAACTCTTTAACCTCCATGGTTGACTAGTGATAGAACAAGCAGAAAATGACAAATGTTTGCAGGATATGAAAAATTGTGCTTGTAACAGTACCTGGAACATAGTAAGTTCTATGTAAATATTTATGTGGTAAGTATATGATACTGTTCATACTTCTAAAATGTGTTAGTAAATTCCCATGGAACTTAGAATCAGTTGCTTGTTGAGAAAAAAGAAATAATAATAAGATCTCAAAAAAATAAATGTAGTCAGTGTGTAAAGGAGACGCCTCCCATAACATGCCCATACAAGATGTAAACTAGTTACTTGAGATTTTAGGAAGAATTTATTACCAAGTTGATCTTCCTTTAAATTCTCCTTATCACAGTGATTTATAATTCTTTTAAAGTTCTCTTTTTCCATGACATGTTCTAATTAACATTAAATACTTTATTTGTTGTACTAGCTAAGAAGTAATACTTTTAAGGGACTCAGGCCAACATTAATGCATATTTTTATTCATGCATAGCAATTATATCCCAGAAGTGAGAATCATGTCAATTCCCAACCTTCGCTACATGAAGGTCAGTATTGATAGAAAAAAATATTGATTGATCAAAGATGCATGAATCTATGTTGGTGATTGTGTGTTTGGCATACAGATGCAGTGAACAAGAGTGAAACTATTATGTAATACATGATTAAGACTGTAAAATATTTTTTTCTAGTTTTACAAAGAGATCCTCTGATCAGATTATGATTTTTGTGAGGTTTTTTAAAAATAATTTTTCTTTTACAAACTATGACTCAGCAAATTTTTAAGATTTACTGCATAGAAAATGTGTAGCAGTTGGAAAATAATGCATGTAAAATGTATATGCTAGATATTAAACTGTGTACCTGCTTAAAAATCATACATTGAGTTGGTTCCTACTCACAGCTGACCGTCCAGCAGGTCTTGAAGCTATAAATCTTGCAGGAGGAGATTGTTCATCTTTTCCCTGTGAAGCTGCTAGTGGATTCGAACTGCTACAGAGATGACCGCTTTGGTCCAGCAGTGCAGTGGAATCTATGAACTTGGTCCTAGAGCTCAAAAATAACCCCAACCCAAAACACCAAGAAGTTTGAAATTTTCAGTTCCTTTAGTCTGGGATTCTTAGCAAAAGCATCTTTGGAATGTTTGTGTAAGGACCAATGGTGCACATTATATAGAGATGGAATCATAGGTGGCAAAAGGAAGGAAGATACTGACCTCCACAGGCATCTTCAGCTCCTCCCCTCCTCCCGGGAGATTAGGAGGTGGGTGTGTGTGTGTGGGGGGGGGTGTTGTGTGATGTGTGTGTGCTTTACCAGATGTCCTCGGTATATTCCATAGCATCTGCTTTACCACTTTTCTTTCATAATGCCCGAGACAGTTCTTTCTATAATCGTTACTAATTTTAAAGACTGTGTTACTTGTCTCAAGGGGGTTCCAACCAAGTGCAGATAATCATGGTTTAAAAAGTGTTAGGAGACTTTTTTTACCTTTAAAGTCTTGCACCTTTAAATAAAATATTTGTACATATGTCTAGCCTGTGTCTCCTTGATGCTGTTTATGAGAGCTTCCTGTTTTTTCAGATTTTAAGTGGCATTCAGGTAGGGGAAGAGTGATAAAGTGGTATGACAACAATATGAAACAGTGCATTGCACAGTGGGAGGAAAATGTGCAACAATGAATGAACGAAAACCAAACCTTTCTGTAAACTTTCGTTAAAAATCACTACACACACACACACATTTAAAAGAGTGATAAACTTTTAAGCCCTCAGGTTAGTATATACTCCCGAGACTTTCTTACAAACTAACCCTTTCTTTAAGATCTGCCCTATAGCAACACCACAGATTATATTGTATAATTATAAATAGTAGATGTTACTGCTCTAGAGTCACAGAGTGATGATTTGGTGGAATACTTAATGCCTCAACTAAGAAAGTAAAAGTATGTTGCAATATCATAAGGTGATTTTGTGTAATACCTAATATTACAGCTAAGACAGTAAATGTATGTGGCAGGATTGTAACATGTTTTGAGAGGTGTCATTCCTGTTCCTCAGGAGAGCCAGGTGCTCCTGACTCTGACCAACCCCGTGGAGAACCTCACCCATGTGACTTTGCTGGAGTGTGAGGAGGAGGACCCTGATAACATCAATAGCACTGCTAAGGTAGAAAAGACTTATGTTCTCTTGACTGACTGACTTGTCTGGGGTGGCAGTTTTACCCTGCCTTAAAGGACTGTATACTATTTTTTTTTTAATGCCCCAAAACATTTCCATTAGTTTAGTTTTTGTTGCATACATCTTACTTACCTAGACTGGACAATGACTTTGTAACTGAATTTACTGTTTTTAGTTCATTCCCTCTCTCCGTTACAGCCCATCTTCCATATTGCTGCCAAGATAGTCTTCTCTAAAGCTGTGAGATTCCATCTGACTTGTAGTTGAAGTTTGAACTCCTTGACATAGCTTAAGAGCATCCTAATGAACTCAGATCTGTCTGTTCTTCCAGCATAATCTTTTCCTAAGTTCCCAACTTTAGCATTCTCCAAATAGTATGAAGTAATAATTGTAATCCAACCAGGTCAATAACTTTCAAGCTGGAGTTTATATGCTATTCTTTTCACCTAGAAAGTGTTCTTCCTCTCCCGTTTTCCTGATACACAGCCATTCATCTCTCTTAATTTAAAAGCTGCTTGTTCCTCAAAATTCATACCACATATCATTCTCCTTTTAAAAGATGTTATGCCTCTCCTAGACTCCCTCAGCTTATTTAAAGTATACAGAGAACTAAACGCAAATCCTTGATCTGACCCTACAATAGGACTCTTCCCATAGTGTCTAAGTCTCTAAATCTGCAGACACCGACTGCCCTCTCTTTCGTCCTCAGCTTACAAAGCTAATGAGCTCAGACCTCCAGTCTTTTGCTTAAAAGCCGCACTCTAATCATTGAACTACCAGGCCTTCCTAAAGTGAACGTGAAACAAAACCAAACCCACCGCCAGCCAGTTGCCTCTGACTCATGACGACACTCCTGGCACTGAGGCTGTGAATCTTTGCCAGGGAGACTGCCCACCTCTCTCCCCCGGAGTGCCAGTGGATTAAAGTTAGTGACTTGTTGACTGGGGTGCAATATGTTATACCACCAGAGCTTCTATAAGTTTATATTTTTTTTAAAAAAGTAAAGCCTCACAGATATCACGTTGGCCCTGATTCATGGAGACCCTCCATCAGTTCTAGGTTATAAATCTTTACAGAAGGAGACTGCCCCTCGGTCTCCTACAAAGTATCTGATGGATTTGAACTGCTGCCCTTTTAACTAGCAGCCCTGTGCAATATGGACAACAGGACCTTAATGTGTATTTGATGCTAACTTCCTTAATGGGTGAATTTTACTTTCACTAATTATTTGTTGATTGGATGAACTATAATTTTTCTGCATTTTGTCACTGTGTGTTATCTTTTGTTGATATGTGCCATCAAGTTGGAATCAACTCATAGTTGACCCCCCAAGCAAGTTTTTATAGACAATAAATTGCCCAGGAGATTGCCCATTCTTCACCTGCAGAGCATCTGGTGGATTTGAACTGTGTGTCTTTGGGATTACAGCACACCTTCTTACCACTACGCCACCAGAGCTCCCTTCATTTAGAACTTGATATTTTAGATTAAGAACTTTTCTCTTTATATACACCATCTATTGTTGATTCTTTATTCAATATAGTACTCGTAACACTGATACACATAACTGCATTCAGCCTGATTGTCATACCAACAATTGGTAGGAAGAAACTCTATATTAATTACTTGTTAATCAAACAGTTCTTACTACAGAATTTCCACTCCCCTTTTTTCTTTTTAATGAATTTGCTTATTAGCATCACTTCCAAAGAAAGATGGCACATCTGTCCTTACTCTTTGCTTAAATAGCACTTTGTTAAAAGCACTTGACATTTTGTCTTAAAGGCTTTTCTTTTTTTTTTAATTTATGATGATGATGATGATGATGTGTGTACCGTCAAATCGGATCTGACTGGTCCAGGAGGTGATTGTTCCTCCTTCTTCAGCAGAGCATCTGGTGGATTTGAACTGCATACTTCTGGGATTGCAGTGCTGCTTCTTAACACTAGGCCACCAGAGCTCGCCTTAAAGGCTTTTAACGTTAAGCACCTCCATAAAGACAGAGGCAGAAATAAGCTCCTGTGCTTCTGTCCAGTTTGTAGATTTGCTTTTGAGAAAGATTTGTCTTTCTCTCTGCACCTTCCCGCACCACACAGGTAATTGTGGTTACAAGACTAGCTGACGTCGCTATCTCTTAACCTCTGACATAACTAAGTTGAAGCCAAGTCTCAACATAAATTTGAAGAATACATAACTTTTTTTTTGCAATCATGAATATAGACACTCCTTTTTCAGAAAATACCAAATGTTTTCCAAAAATGATAGACTGTTTCAGATAATGAAAGATAAACGCCCAGGTAACCGGCCTCCTGGGATTCAGCCCTTTGTATCGTCTCCATTTGTGTTCACCATTGTGGTCTCTGGTCACTTTCTCTTCCTCGAATTTCTCTGTTCTTACACTTTTGCTTGAAATACATATGTATTCTGAAACAGTGTTTTAAAACTCCATATAAAAACAAACAACACCTCCATACAATTTTCTCATACTTGCTGCTTACATATATAGTTAAATGTGTGAAAGCCAGAACATGTGTAAGGAAAAAAATCTGTCACAGAAGGAAACACAAATGTTTTCCCACTAAAACTAGTAATAGAAAAGTGCTAAGACTGCACCCTACCAAAAGTGAAAATCTTGTGTGGCCCAGGAAAACAAGACAGTCGCACTGGGTTCTGGCTGCCACGGATTCCGTGGTGTAGGTCTAGATGAATTAAAATAATTGCTGCACTGCATGGATACGCACGCGAGCACACACCGAGCCTGGCCTCTTTATGTTGGTCTCTAGGTGGTGGTGCCCCCCAAAGAGCTCATCCTAGCTGGCAAGGATGCCGCAGCAGAATACGACGAGTTGGCAGAACCCCAGGACTTTCAGGACGACCCTGAGTAAGTGATTTTTGTGACACCTCACCCCTTCTCCAGACACATTACCCCTCAATTAGATAATGTAGATAATACCCCCTTGTATATCTCAGTTCTCTTATCTGGATACACAACAACTATGAAGAATAAAATAAAATAAAAATTATCCTTTATCTCACCAGAAAAGATGTTTGTCCTTCCAGTTATGTCTTTAGTCATTTTTTCATCCTGTAAATGCAAATTTTTTGTCATTTCTTTGTTCACATATTTTTATATCTTCCTTAGTGTAAGTTTTTCAAGTGTATAGTTTCTAATGGTTGCAGTATAGGATATAGTCTTCTGTTCCTATAGATTTATCATTGTATTGGTTCCTACCTTCCCCCTTAGAGAAAGTAATGTTTTATTCTATCAAACTTGATAGCTGAAAAGTGAAAACCCAAACTTTCCCCAAAATAAGGAATATATCAGTCAGGATTCAGTTCAAAAACCTAAGTTACCTCAGTTACTTGGACATAGAAAATTTAGTATGAAGAAGTGTTAACATAGGTTAAACTTGATTAAATGGATAATTGAAAGAGTGAAAGGGAACTCTAAAGTGTCCCAAAGATGCTTCATGAAGCAAGTTACCAGCCCTACAGCTGAGGGAACAAAGGGAAGTGGTTTCAAGGTTTTCAAATTTAGAGGCTTTAAGGAGGAGCACCATAGAGCTGAACTCAGATCTGCAAAGGTGGCGAAGGAACGCTGCTGGCATCTCTGAGTGCTAAAGGGAGTGTGGTGAGCTTCCTTATGTGAGAGCTAGGAATCTCTCACTGTCTACTCCTGTGCCACTTTGCGGGTGAAGAAGCATTACCCAAGTTACAGACAGAATTGCAAACAAATAGGAAACTTAGAGGATCGAGGCTTTTCTTCTTCTAGGTTTCTAGCCTTTAGAGTTTCTTCCTCTGGGTTTCTAGTCTCCTGTTGACAGAGCCTCGCACAGAGAGACCTACAGAGCGGAAATGTGATTAGCAGAGTCTGTGTCACAGAGCAGGGAATAGAAAGGTGAATTGAGAATGAAAAGATTTTAAGCTTAATAAACAGGCACAGAGGTTTTTAGCACAATGATTGGTACCTTCCTCAGTGAGAGATTAGAGAAAAAGAGAACCTGGGATAACTTGGAAAAATGACTACACTGGGTTAACTTGAGAAAACGTTGTGGTAGGTGTCTAAGGATCTAAGAGCTATCCTCTGGGATTCTCTTTTATCAGGTCAATGTGGGAACCAGTAATTTGAAAAGAAAGAAATCCCCAGATCTCAGAGTTTGCCTGGGAAATTAAGAATGAAAGACAATGACTTTTTACGTTATTCTGTTCTGAAATGTTTGAATTCCCCCCACCCCACCCCATGAATTGGATACAAATCAAGAGTTGAGTTTGTTGTTGGGTGCGGTCAAGTCCACACTACCTCTTAGCAACCCTGTGTACCTGTGGGATCCTGCGTTGCGCCCTCTGCAGTCCCACAGTGCCTAAGCCCTGTGTCAGTTCATCTCACTGAGGGGCTTCTTCCCCTTTGCATCTCACTGAGGGGCTTCTTCCCCTTTGCTGACCTCTCCCAGCATGATGTCCTTTTCCGACATGCCAGTATGTCCTGACAACATGCCCAAAGTATAGTGTATATAGGTGACTTTCAAAATGCATTCTGTGAAATTCCTTGCTTTTTTGAGGTCTACTACCACCAGTTGCTGTCAGACAGATGCCAACTCATAGTGACTCAGTGTGTGCCATTGTATAAATTAGATATATAGCCTTGTGAAGCCAAGGCAAGATACTCTGAAATAACATCAATTCCAGTCAGAGTGCATGAAAGATTAATAGAAAATTGGATTGTACATTGGAATTTCACAGTAATGTAATAATAAATAGAATGTATGTAGTAATAATAAAATTATCTTGTTGTGTATGTCAAGTCAGAACTGACTCATAGCTGCCCCTCTAGCAGGTTTTCAGAGGCAGTTAATAACAAAGAAGAGAGTCCCCTCCTTATCCAGCAGAGCAACTGGTAGATTCGAACCATATGTCTTCAGGTTTGCAGCACATCTTTTTACCACTAGGCCTCCAGTGTTCCCTATAGAAATACGCAAAGTTTTACTGCTAGTAACTTTTCTTAGAGGAGCTGATAATCATTTGGATAATCTATCAAATTCACTGTCCTTCTACTTATGGAAGCCAATTTATAAATGCATAAACTTCAAGTCACATACTTGTAAGAAAAACTTGAAATTAAGACCCCCAACTGGAAAGACTTTTTCTTTCCTAAAATTAATAATCATGAGGTTATTTATAAAACACAACTCTGGTTTGCTGTGTTCTAGAAATTCCCTTAAAGCTCTAAGTTCTTAAGATTTAATCATAGTATCAGTCCCTATCTAATAAAAACATTATCACCAAGATCAGTGTGAAGTCACAGTAGCATTGTTTATAATAGAAAAAAAAATTGACAGCAACATCAGTGGTAGCAATTATGGTAAATATATGATAAAATACTGGTCAACTATTAACAAGAATTAAGTCAGACGGTAGACACTAATGTGATGAACTTTGTACCCCAAAGTGAAAGATGTTTGTGTGTAGAAAAAAACCGTTTTATGGAGGGAAAGTAAGAGTTCTTGAATAATAGACCTTGTTAATGTTTTCTTAAAAACTGAGGAAAATGTAAGCTTGTATTAAATATCTGGTAGGATAAGGACCAGAGTGTTTACAGTTCTCTTCTGAAAGGATGGTAGGATACTGAAGTGGAGATAATAAGAGAAAAGGCTTCGACTTTTCCTCGTTTGAATATTTTGTGGCTCTGATTTACTTTTGTGCTATTACTAAAATGTTAAGACATCAACATTTTGCTAAAGAAACACTCTTGGTTGCTAATTAATGGCGTGATGGCCAGATCTTGTCATCTCAGATTCCATGTACCATAAAATGACTGAGTGTAGTGGTTTGACAGACTTGCAACCTAATGCTGTACTTACTTTCTCTCCTAGCGTTATAGCTTTCAGAAAGGCCAACAAAGTGGGAATTTTCATCAAAGTTACCCCACAACGTGAGGAGGGCGAAGTGACCGTGTGCTTTAAGATGAAACATGATTTTAAAAACCTGGCTGCGCCCATCCGCCCCATTGAAGAAAATGACCAGGCCACGGAAGTCATCTGGCTCACTCAGCACGTGGAACTCAGCTTGGGTCCACTTCTTCCTTAAAAATTCCACTGTCGGGCAGATCACAAAGGACGATGTCTCCATGTTAAAATAGCGAAGCCACTGCTTCGTCGGGCCTTGTTCATTAACCACTAACGTCCCCATGTACTACTGAGTACTGTTTTCAGGAGAGTAAGGGCATAGGGAAGGCATTGAGAACACAGAAGCTGCTGTCCTCTTGCTGTTCCTTCTGTAACACCAAGAAGTCTGTGTCTCCGTCACCGAACCCTGCACGTTGAATAACAGCAGCCTAAATTCATCCCACGAAGGGTCAGCTGCTCTTTGGAGGTGTAATAGATTACTACCTGAGAAATTCTGGCCTTAATGTCTCCTGGTTTTGTCTTCAAAGGATCAGAATCTCACAGATGAGACTTAAATGGTAGCCCAAAGGTGGACCTGCTGTTAATGGCCTAGCCCTGGTCTCACAGTATCAACTGCTTTTTGCATTGTATTAGACGTAATCTTCATCTAAGCATATCCCTTCGTTTTTCACTATGGCTCCCGTCTTGCCACAGATTGCCGTTTGACAAAGGGCAGGAAGTGTTACAGTGTCTTGAGCATTAGGATGATTGGAGCAACCTGTGGAATTCTTTTTTGTTTGGTTTTTTTGTTTCTCTTTTTGTGACTTGTGAAATTCTTAGACTCTCTTACTTGCTGTCTTAATGAAAACAAAACTTTTTTTATTTCTTGATTACGCCTAAGTGTTTTGCTCAGTAGAGTATGACATTGTCTTTTAATAATTGGAGAAGTACCCAGGGAGGATAATACCATTACTGCCACAGGGAGGCAGTCTTCGTGTGTTTTACTCTAACCTTCTCTGCTCTAACTCCACAAGCTGTTCAGCATATTTAGGACACAAAGCCTAGAGAAAACTTGAGCGAAAAAGTTCACTCCCAGAATGCAGAAAAAAACATTTTAAATGATAGGGTTTTAATTTTTTTTTTTTCGGCATCCTCTTAAGAAATGTTCTTGCCATTGATTTAAAGAAGGAAATTGACATTTATAATCTCTTTAATCAAAAATTGGTTATACAAAAAAGAGCACCTTTTCCTCTTCTTGAATTTTTATCATATTTCAAATAGAATCATTTTGATTATCAGCCTTAAGTATTTCAAGAGATAGCCAAACAACAGCACACAATGCCATTTCCTTAGTATGCTGAATTTTGGTTGATTAACCTTAATGTCTGTGATGTTTTCTAAATTGGAATGTGAAAAAAAGTATGTCACAAACATCACCCACTATGTTTTCAGTAAATGTATTTTCAGCAAGTGGCAACAGATATTTGGAGAGAGATTTCCTGTTTTCCTTGATTTTTGTCTTTTAATTTGAAGTTTTCTGTTTTTAAGAAAAAGGAAAAACGAAAGATTATCCTGTAATCTACATACAGACAAGACAAAGTACCTTGTCAGCTCCCCCTTAAGAAAGAAAAATATTTTGAAAGACACTAAAACGTACACTTAAGGTCAAGTCAATTATATTAAACACTGTTCTGACAGAGTAATATATATGCTACAGTGTAATAAAAATTATTCATATCTGTAATGTAATATGATAGTGATAAGTAGGGTTTAGCCTCCTGGGCTTTGGGATGGGGTTGGGTAATGATTTACTTGCAGGAAGAGTTTATGGTTTTTGTGACCCTGAAGAGTGTCAGAGTAATTTTTATTTAACAGCCTTCGAAAACCTACTATGAAGCCACTACTCCATAATTTCTAGTGGAGGAAATGGACATCAAAGTAGAGAGTAGCTTTTTATGTTTACAGATTGTGTAGACTACAGACAGTTGTATGTCATGTGTTTATAGCATATAGCTGAAGTATGTTCCTAAAAGTAATAATGTTAAAGTAATTTCTCTCACACCCCACACACTTTTGATCATAGAATAATTATTTCCTCAGAAGCCAAATTAACTTGAAGAATAACAAAGCCATGGGTTTAATGTTTCCTCAAGAAAATCTCTTTTTTAGTGCAAGCTGTATTTTGTGTGTTCTTTAAAATGATTCTTAATTCAGCTGGTGAATTAGGAATTTTATTTGTTGCTTTTTATATTAGATCAGGTATAAGACTGATGTGTAATACATGTGCAGACCACTACAGGAGAATGAGATGCCGTTAGCACTTAAAATTCGTTTTGGAAACTTAAGTCTAAGTTAACTCAAATTTGTGATTTGATTAACTTACCGAAGTATTCTTTGTTGCAAACTGTTGGTAGGCATAGTGGGGTAGATATCCATATTTGTGAAGAAACATCTTTGGTCCCTTCTGGGAATAAGAGGCAGCACTCCATGTTCTTTATTAAACAACAGCTTACTGTTTTGCCTTATTGCTTAACTTACTGTAGTGAAATAAAGCAGATGAAGCTTGAGTGTGTGTGTTGTTTGGATTCATGAAGACTAAATTGGCATGGCTCAATGAAAAGACAGTGGGGTAGGGGAATCAGTAAAGTTGGTGTATGGCTGCCTTCTGCCATTTCTTTAAATGAACTAAAGTATAAATCTTGGATGAAAGTAGTTCACTTGAACATCAGATAGGCTAATTTTGACACATTCTCAGAATCATTTTTAAATACAATTTTGTTGGACCTCTACCAGCTTTAGTTGTAGGTCATTGCTCCCCAAAGATATCCTGTCAAGTATACAAAATAATCCAGTCCAATAAGTAACCAACCACCTTCATTCATGTCTTTGTGTGCTTCCCTCTTGTTACTCTAGAAGAATTACACCATTTCCTCTCTCTAAAGCCAACCTCACCACTTGTATTCAGTCCCTTCCTCATGCCTGTGGTTTCAATTCCTCCCAAAACAAATTTGTTTTTTTATTTTGACAGTTCATAATATATGCCATACTGTTTGTGAACATAGTTCAAAGGCATCCACTAGTCTTTGGTCATCTTTTTTCATTGTCCAGCTTTCACATGCATTTGAAGCAACAGAAGATACTATAACTTAGGTTAGGCTCACTAGTTTTTAAACTGACAATGTTGCTCTCTCCAGCACTTTAAAGAGGTCTTTGATAGCAAACCTACCTAATGCAGGACATTGTTTGATTTCTTTGTGGCTGTTTCTGTGAGTATTGATTGTGGATCCAAGCAAAATTAAATCCTTGACAACTCAGTCTTCTCAGTCTTATCATGGTGTTCTGATAGAATGCCATTTGAATCAGGAGAGTCTATCAGAATCATTAACAAAATGCCTTTTAATGTCAACATGTAGAAAGTCTTCTAGCCACACATCACAGCAGAATGTGGAAATTTCAGAACAAAATCATACCACATGCAAGCAAAATACTGTTGATCATCCCAAGACATCTAGAACAGTACATAGGGGAACTGCCAAAAGTTGAGGCTGGATTTAGAAGAGGCTGTGGTACCAGGGACATCATTGCTGGTGTCAGATACTTCCTGAAAGGAGAAAATACTAGAAGAATGTATATTTGTGCTTCATTGACTATGCAAAGGCATTTGACTCTGGATCATAACAAATTATGTCTAACATTGAGAAGAATAGAAATCTCAGAACACTCAATATTGCTCATGGAAAAGCTATACCAAGACCAAGAAGTTGTGCAAACAGACAACAATACATGGTTTAAAATTAAGAAAGACTTGTGTCAGGGAAGTATTCTTTCTCCATATCCAAATAATTTGCTGAGCAAATTATTTGAGAAGCTGAACTATGAAAATGGCATAAGGGTTGGAGGATGACATCAATAACCTTCCTTATAGAGATGGCACAACCTTGCAAAAGGTAAGAAGAACTTGAAGTACCTACACTGCAGCCTTAAATATGTATTGCATCTCAATGTTAAGAAAACAATAGTTCTCCCCACTGGACTGATAAACATCATGATGTTAGGTTTGTGCCATCAAGTTAAGTACAACCAATGGCAAGTTTATTAATAACACTGAATCCGAACCCTTTCTGAGACTGTGCCGTCCCCACAGTTCTGACACACTAGAGCCCACTGGGGCAGTCACCATGTCAGTCCACTCAGTTAAAGGTCTTTCTCTTTTTTATTGTCCCTCTACCTTTCTAAGCCTGATGTCTCTCTCCAAGGAATAGCCTTTCCTAGCAACATGCCCAAAGTATGTGAGATGAAGCTTTATTATCCTTGCCTCCAGAGATCACTCAAGTCTGCACTTTCTTGTTTTTTTTTGTGTTTTTTGTGTGTTTTTTTTAAAATTTTTATTTTATTTTTATAATTTTGTGTATATGTACCGTCAAATCAGATCTGACTGGTACAAGAGGAGATTGTCCCTCCTTCTCCAGCAGAGCATCTGGTGGATTGGAACCTTGCACCTCTGGGATTGCAGTGCAGCTTCTTGCCACTAGGCCACCAGAACTCCCTATATTTGTTCTTTTGTAAGTCCGTCAGATATTTAGTACACTTTTCCAACACCACAGCTCAAAGGCATCAATTTTCTTTTGTCATCCTTACTCATTGTCCAACTCTCAGATGCATAACAAGTAATTGGAAAGACTATGGTGTGACTCAGACTCATCTTAGAACTCAAACTGACATCATTGCTCAATAATTTGGAGAGGTCCCTGACTTTCTCAGTGCAATACATCTCTTTCTTGACTTCCTGGCTACTGCTACCAAGGGCATTGTTGCTTCTCAGGACTCTGGAGAGGTCCCTGACAGCAGATTTTCCAAGTGCAATTTTTCTTTTGATTTCCTGACTGCTGGTGCCAAGACTGTTGATTGTGGAGCCTCGCAAGCTGTAATTGTTAACAACCTCAATCTCCTATCCATCTATCATGGTGCTGCCAATTGGCCCACTGGTGAGAATCTGTCTTCTTGATATTGAGCTCTAATCATATTGAAGACTACAGTCCTTGACTTTCAGCAAGTGCTTCAGATCCTCCTCAGTTTTAAAAGCAAGGTTGTGTCATCTGCATAACGTGGGTTGTTGATGATCCTTCCTCCAATCCTGATGCCACATTCTTCCTCATAAAGCCCTGCTTCCCGAATGATCTGCAAATAAATTGAAAAGGTATGGAGATAGGATGCATCCCTGATGCACTCCTTTCCTGATTTTAAGAGGACAGCTGTCCTCTTAAGTATTTTTATGACATTGGTTAAACATGAAATAGGTAATTTAAGAACCATTTGGGCTGCCATATGTATTACTTTAAATATCTATTATAATCCTAAAAAACACAAATATATACACATGAATTTCACCTGATGGTATGCACAGGAATCAGATCGATTACATCTATGGAATGAATCATTGAAGAAGTTCCATATCAGCAGTGAAAACTAGGCCAGGTGCTAATTGTGGAAGAGACCATCAACTATTCATATGGAAGTTCAAACTAAAGCCAAAAAAGGTTAAATCCACAGAAGGCAAAATGTCATCTTGAGTCTATCCTACCTGAATTTAAAAACCAACTCAGGAACAGGTTTGAGGCCCTGAACACTAATGAAAAAGACCAGATGAGCTGTGGGAGGATATGAAAAATATAATCCAGGAAGAATGTAAAAGATCATTACAAAGACGGAGGAAGGAGAAAAGACCAAAATGGATGTCCGAAGAGTTTCTGAATATTACACTAGAGTGCGGAGAAGCCAAAGCAAAGGAGGA